CTCTCTCTCTCTCTCTCTCTCTCTCTCTCTCTCTCTCTCTCTCTCTCTCTCTCTCTCTCTCTCTCTCTCTCTCTCTCAACCGATGTTAGCAATGAGGATATTTATTTCCTCCTATTATTTTCCCGATTTCTTACATGTCATTGTTTCCTGTCAAGAGTTAATTTAAACTATTTCTCTCTCATTACAATTATTGCAAATGATTAGTGAGGAAAATCAATGCAAAGCCAAATAGAAAGTGGTATTTACATATTCGTACATTGAAACGTGTGTACAGTCTAAAGTAGTTGACTGTAACCATGATATATATATGTGCTTCAGCCTACAATTTAAACCTATTGTCTCGTGTATGATCCTGTGTCCTGTGTGACAGTGAATACCAGTATTATCCTCACACTAATAAGACTTTATTGAATGCCTTAGATTAGGCAACAATTTTAATTAATTTTTGTCAATAAAGATGTTAATAATAATCCTACTTTCCTCCCTGCATGCCTGCCTGCGCTCCCTCTCTCTCCGGACTGTGGTAAGGGAGGGACCCGCTCGCCAGGTTCTGGGAAACACATTGGAGGACAATTGCAGATAAAGCGTAATGGGATGAGTATGGGAAATGTTATTTCAGAGCTGGAGTGAAGAGCTGCGAGAGAGACCAATACCACACTTGACACGGCGGTCGTAATTCGTGCAGTAATGCCAGCGAGTGGAAGACCCATAGGGGGTGAACGGGCAGGGTGTGTGTGTGTGTGTATGTGTGTGTGTGTGTGTGTCAGGGGGAGGGTAAAGCGTGTTGGCTACTAAAACAATGGATATGTCAGTGTGAGCGGCCATCATTGGTAAAAAACTGTCGCTGGCTGGATGGCTGGGATATGGCTGTCCAGTCCCGGTAGGAATTTGTGTCGCTGCCAACTGAGGGATAAAGTGAGGGAGGGAGGGAGGTATTAACGTGAAAGTCAACAGCATGTATGGTTCAAGAGGTGCTGTTGTGCTAGTGTGTACATAGCTTTCAGTATCATATACATACATGTATATATGTATAACATATGTATGTGTGGCATTCACACACACACATAGCATGCTTGTGACCTAGTTAATAATGGATACTCTTAAGGAACATGTTGAAGATATCAAAAGGAAGGTGACCTGCATTGCTTCCCCGGATGAAACAGCCAACACTACATCATCTGCCTTTACTATTGGGTGGATATAAATGGGTGGATATAAAATGGGTGGATATAAACTGAGTGGATATAAATAGGAGCTGCCTTGTATGGGCCAATAAACCTTCTGCAGTTACCTTTACTCTTGTGTTCTTATGTTCTTAACTATCAAATTATTCTACAGGAAGTTCTTCTCCGTGGCACAGAAAACGGAGTAAAGATTCTTGCAAGATATCATTGATACAAATGTGACCCTTACCGACACCAGCCAGAAGACAGTGTTGACAATCTACTACAAGAACAAGAAGATCGCTAACTTTATCATGCAGAACTCTTCCGACACCAAGTGAAACGCCTTGTAAGAGACAAATGGCAATACCTTCATAAGGCCAGTTAGGGACTTTCAGCCTAAACGCTTGCAGTATATAGGCAAGGCAAAAACATCTCTTTCAAGGGTCCTGGTTAAGCACAAACAGCAAGGCTCCTTCAAAGACATCTTCACATCTACGACAACCAGAGCAACAATACCGAAATAATCGGTGGATACAAGGTCAGTACATGATTAGTCAGCGTCGAAGCACCACACATCAACCAATCTCAACCAACTAGTATAGATCAAATCAGCAATGGATTCGAGAACGATCACAAATAATTTTGGGCAAGGGTTTAAAGGGGATTCAAGAAGAATGCAAAAAGGCTAAATACAAAATACATCAGATATATTCATAGGAATACAGCACATACATGTCTCTATGTCACTTTGTCTTTATTTATATACATAAATAGTTCCTATTTCTATACAGAGCAACTGGCTATGAAGTAGCCCCTCTATACTGAGCTGCTTGGTATACTGTCAGCCTCCGAGCTGCATGGTATACTGTCACCTTCTCTCACATTTATTTTGAAGGACTTTCGTTTAATCAAAAGCGTACGGACCAAGCCAAACTCACCTAACCCAGCGAGGCCGATGATCATTAATCCCAAAATACATACAATATGAGCTGCTGTAATTCCACCAAAACAACTCAGTATGAACTGTTGAACTGTGGGCATTAAGTGTGAGGACAGTCTTCACGGGCAGATGGGGGGATGGGACGAGCAGCCGGATTCACGAACGTTACTCTTGCCGGATGAATTCTCTTGCCGGATGAACGACATGTGGTAGCGAGGGAGAAAGTTTCTCCCTCATCATCCAGGCCCAGACCAGACGGGTCTTCTCTCCCCTGGGGTACGAGGGCGTCTCTCTATCTCCCTCAACAATGGTCAAGGCCAATTGAGAGTTTGTTTAACGACCCGAAGAATCACCCATTAGGGTGTAATTGGTGGTTTTCAGCGAGGTGATGATTGCATAACAGGTGGTCAAGTGTGCACTTAAAGGGCGATATATATATATAAGTACGTGAGTGGAGGGTTGTGAATTGATTCGGCTGGTTTGCAAATTGGTTGGGTTTCGCCGTGAATACGTTCGGATGAGTTGTGAGTAGATTATGATTATACATCATGAATAATGTGAGTAGATTACACATCGTGAATCATGTGAGGAGATTACACATCGTGAATAAGTTCGGCTGGGATATTAATATTTTCTGCTGACTTATGAACAGGTTCGGCTGTGTTGTGAATTGGATCACTTGGGTCGTGAACAGGTTCATCTGGGTCGTGAACAGGTTCACCTGGGTCGAGAACAGGTTCAACTGTGTCGTAAACAGGTTCAACTGGGTCGTAAACCGGTTCGGCTAAGTTGTAAATAGGTTCGACTGCATTGTGAATGGGTTTCACTGTCACTGGACCAATTTACATTCTCGCGTAGTCAACAGAGCAAGGTTGCCTGGACCTTTGCCTCCTTATATGTTGTCAATTTGCAGAAACTAAAAAACCTTTGCGAGTATTGAAGAGAAGACGCTGGGCCTGTTATGAAGTAAGCCTGGATTATCTTCCAGATCAAATTTTGTGCAATTGCTAAAATTTGCATAAGCCGCCTCACATTCCGCGAGCCGCGTGTAGTAAGTTGACATCTCGAGACAAATCTCATCTAAGTTTCCACTTCTGAAATATCTAAAGAAAAGATATTTGTCGCTAGAAGTGTTCTGGAAAATGTGTGTGTGTGTGTGTGTGTGTGTGTGTGTGTGTGTGTGTGTGTGTGTGTGTATGTGTGTGTGTGTGTGTGTGTGTGTGTGTATACTCACCTATTTGTGCTTGCGGGGGTTGAGCTTTGGCTCTTTGGTCCTGCCTCTCAACCGTCAATCAACTTGTGTACAGAGTCCTGAGCCTACTTTTTTTTTTTGGTAGGGATATTCCTGTGCGGGCCCTAAGCCTCTGGCTTAGAGCCCGCACAGGATTAATGCCTACTATTACTACTGCTCTTTTCCGCTCTATCAGCTGACTAGTACATTTAGCTGCTTCCTGAGAAGAAGCCACTTCCATGGCAACTTCCCTAACTGCAGACCTAGCTTCAGGGCTCTTTTTAAGCAATTCTGCAAACGAGGGTTACGTTGTAAAAGTCCCCTTAACAGTAGCATTCCCCTCTCCCTGAGGTACGGTTTGTGTCTGGTATTGGGGAGGAGTTTCCTTCAGACTTCTTACCTCCTCCTTTGCTGCCCTTACTGTGGTTACTGTCTCCCTCATTACCCTCAGTCCATCACTGAATTCATCCCACATTTGCTGGAATATTCCCCTAATCCAGGGTTCCTTTTCCATCCCATCCTCTGAGTTTGCCCTTACTATGTCTGTTTCCCTGTGGTTGCTTCCCCGAGTTAGTCTCATAGCCATGTTTTCTCCCTAGGAGAGAGAGGGGGGAGAGGGAGAGGGGGAGAGAGATAGTTGAGAGAGATGAGAGAGAAGTGGGGGGGGGGGGGAAATGAGAGAGAGTGTGTGTGTGTCATAGGGTCTCGCCTTTGCTGGAGCCGCCGCGTCGAGAGTGCTCGAAATCCATTGAACACAACAGCCAAAGTTTTGATATGGTGAGACTTTTAACAATGCCTGGTGTTGGTGATGGTGGCGGTGTTGGTGGTGGTGGCGATGTTGGTGGTGGTGTTAGTGGTGGTGTTGTGTACTCACCTAATTGTGCTTGCGGGGGTTGAGCTCTGGCTCATTGGTTCCTCCTCTCGACCGTCAATCAACTGATGTACAGATTCCTGAGCCTACTGGGTTCTGTCATATCTGCATTTGAAACTGTGTTTGATGTCAGCCTCCACCACATCACTTCCCAGTGCATTCCATTTACTAACTACTCTGACACTGAAAAAGTTCTTTCAAATGTCTCTGTGGCTCATTTGCGTGCGCTGGTGGGAGTGGTGGTGTGGGCTGCTGTAGTGGCAGACATCTTTCGTGTCTAGTGTAGAAAAGTAGGTATTAATATAAACTTGTAGATTCACGTAGAAAGCTATAATATTACAGGTAGTTGAAGTAGTAAAAGTAGTAGAAGAAAATGCTCGTAGTAGTTATCTAGGTAGTCGCAGCTGTAGTGGAAACTATTGTAGTAGTAATACATGAGATAGAAATGGTATAGAAATAATAAGAGTGAACAAATCCACAGGAGCCGTGGTGAGGGATCGAACCTATGTACTGGGTGTTCCCAGATGCACGCTTTAGTCATCGGTTCATGTGGATTTGTTCATTGATATCACGGTTCAATGTGATATCTCAGTGTAGTATTTATAGTGTTATCAAAGGATGTTCATACATGTATCACTATATATCCAGCAGAGATTCCAATCCACCGATTACATCTATATCATTCACATCCAATCCTAATCTAAATCAAAATAATTTTTAACACAAAGCCTGTGTTAAAATGGGATATATACAATTTCAGCCACAATACTCCTTATACATCATCTGAGTACTAGAACTGAATTAGGTAGCAGTGATACTGAAAAGTCCCCATCTCGCAGGAAGGTTAGGCATACAGGGCCACTTGATAAGTAGCCGGCACTCTCAAACTGTGGGTGGATAATGAGGATAACCTCAAGCACACGAGAGTTAATAAAGATATTAATGAAGTGATTGCAGGTACCGCATGCCAAGAGGTCTGAATGGTCTGATAACTGGGCATTCGGTGACGTAGTGTGCAAGCGTTGGTGTGAAACCGCCCCACAGCGTGCATCAAATCTACGTAAAAATATTCCTGTCTTGCACACTCGGAAACATTGAAGAACAAAAAATGTTCCTTCTACAGTCAAGAACATGGAGAAACATCGCCCCTGAAGACTGAAGAACATGACAAAAAAGACCAACTAATCTCTGTATGCTAATGTACTCGACAGAAAGTTCCAACTAACATTTGTATGCTAATAAACATTGTAGAACACATCACCTCGCCCCTGAGAACTCAGGAACATGTAAGAACAGATCACTTCACCTCTGAGGGCTAATGAACACCACAGAACACACCACCTCGCCTCTATGGATTCAGGAACATGATAGAACAGTCCACCACGCCCATCAGGAATCAGGAACATGAAAGAACCGTCCACCTCATCCCTCAGGACCCAGGAATATGACACAGCAGATCACCTCGTCCCTGAGGTCTCAGGAACATGACCAAACAGACCACCTCGCCAATCAGGACTCAGGAACATGACCAAACAGACCACCTCGCCAATCAGGACTTAGGAATATAACAGAATAGTCCACCTCGCCCATTAGGACTCATGAACATGGACCCCTCAGGACCCAGGAACATGACCAAACAGACCACCTCGCCCATCAGGGCCCCAGGAACATGGCAGAACACTCCACCTCACCCCTCAGGACCCAGGAACATGACCAAACAGACCACCTCGCCCATCAGGGCCCCAGGAACATGACAGAACACTCCACCTCACCCCTCAGGACCCCAGGAACATGACCAAACAGACCACCTCACCCCTCAGGACCCAGGAACATGACCAAACAGACCACCTCGCCCATCAGGGCCCCAGGAACATGACAGAACACTCCACCTCACCCCTCAGGACCCAGGAACATGACCAAACAGACCACCTCGCCCATCAGGGCCCCAGGAACATGACAGAACACTCCACCTCACCCCTCAGGACCCAGGAACATGACCAAACAGACCACCTCACCCCTCAGGACCCAGGAACATGACCAAACAGACCACCTCGCCCATCAGGACTCAGGAACATGGCAGAAGAGACCTGCCCCCTCCTGTAAGACAGCGAGGAGAGGCGTGGCGCCGGCCGCGTACACTGCATAACAAATAATTCTCATTAATCCTATACAAGTGTTGGTGGGCTCGCTCCCTCGGAGCAAAAGAGTGTCAACCCCCTCGCTGACTTTAAGGGGGCGCTTCAGGTCCCTTAAGCTCGCGGCGATGAGCTTAGTTATCACTAGATGCTATGGCAGTCTTGCAGTTGGCCTGTCGCTAGTTGGTAATAGTATAACAAAGGCGGGAAATTTCTTTTGTTGTAAAGATCATCTGAGACGACTTTTAACTGGGAATTTCAGCCTCAAGGCATATGTGGGATATCACTGAAGGCATCATAACAATAACAAATGAGAGTTTGCACCACTGCATTTAGCTTTGCTTAACGTACGGCACAGGAGTGCCATGGGTGATTTTCCCGCTTTTAACCGCAATTTTTAGGCTTTGAAACATTTGTTGATTAGCACACACTGCCCTCCAAAGTCCCAGATATAAGACTTTGTGTCGCTTAGTTAAGGCAGACAATGGAAGCTTACTGGATGTCGAATATAATGTCAAGTGGAACCTTTCGATTCCTTATTGATCATACTCTGCATCGCTTGCCTCTTCTAGATAAATATAATCTGTCTTTGCAATTACGTAGCATCAGGAGGAGATCAGACTCCTCGATTTATGTCTCTCCATATTTACCTAAGGTGACGGGGCATTTATACCCCCCCTTGGCGGCTCAAATATAATGATAAAACGTCCAAAAGGGTTTGTGAGGATAATGTTGGTGGTCCGGGAGAGGAGAATGTCGTTAGTGTTTTGTTTCTGACCAGCTATTGTCCCCAATGTCTATTTATTCAAACCTCCCGCCAAGAGGGTCCCCCTTGTTTACACATTGCGCCACTAGGGGGCCCAGAAGGGCAAGTCGGAAGGGACCCTACGTGTAACGCTCTCGGCTATTGTTGTGTCCGTTCCATTGATATATTAACTGTATTTTTGGTTTTCTGCGACGAGCTGGCATATTTGGTTTAGCGTGAGGTAAGTGGGATGCATTATGGGTGTGTGTGAGAGTAAATTAGCTAGCAGGAGAGTGCAAAGGAAAGGAGAATTCTTCAGGTGGATTGTTTATCACTGGGAAATCAAGCCGACCCATCTACCCTAACCCATCCCTTTAATGACCTCTGGGGCTCGTTACCTATACAGCCATATCTACTCACTATTCCATCGCGTGAAGTTAGTTTCCTCTTCATTCCCTCCTTCGACCTCCCCTCACTCTCTAATCGACCCTTTCCCCTCTTCTGCCTTTTAACTCCCCCTAATTCCCCCGCAACCAGCATAATTTATGGTCACACAGTAGGGGTAGCAGGGGCAGGGTAGAGGGCGTACCTGGCCTCACCTGTACGCTACTGAGGTCGTGTACCTGCCCGGTCACCCCCTGACCTCTGAGGCCTCGGCCGCCTGCCGAGTTAAGCACCTCACTCGCCCCTTTCCGAAATGCATTATATTTTACGCTGAATTCTTATCGTGAATCTTGAATCCGAATTCTCAGCTTTGTCTTTATGGTTTTTGCTCTTTATTGTCCTCCAAATCACTCTTTCTATTTCCCCCTATTTTTTTTTTAATTTTCATTCCTCTTCTTTCGCCTCATATTCCTATTTTCATATACCTTTCTTCTCTCTCATATTGTCTATCTATACTCTCTGAGTATAGATACACCTATATAGATATATCTATACTCTCTATCTATACTCAGAGAGTATAGATATCTTGCCTATCTGTTCTTTCTCCCCAGTTTGTCTCTTATATTTCTCTCTACTTCCCTTCCGCCGATTCCCCCACTCCTTCCCTTACCTCACCTCACCCCTACCTTCCTCCCCCTGAACACCTTGTCACAACAAGTAATTATGAAGCCTCAAGCGGCATTGAGAGGCGTTTACAGCCTTCCCGGGAGTGACCAGCTTTCAGGAGGGAATTACTCTCTCAGTGAGGCGTGACCTCTCTTAGAGGCGTGACCTCTAAGAAAGGCGTGACCTCTGAGAGAGAAGTTACCTTGAGGTAAAGCATGACTTCCCACAGGATTTTTGTACACCTGTTCTCGGAAAGACGAGGTTATTCGGACGGACGAGTTAGCAATTATATACTTACTTAGTCGCAGGTTTAAATTTGTTATTCGTCTTAGCGATTCGGAATTATTCACAAAAGGATGGGGGAAAGTTGGTCTGGGTTATGAGGTTTTAGGGGTTTGATTTATGCTTCAGGATTGGCCAGGATACCTTTGGCTGTCACACATATATATGTGCACATGTCACACACACACACACACACACACACACACATATATATATATATATATATATATATATATATATATATATATATATATATATATATATATATATATATATATATATATATATATATATATATATATATATGCTTGAGACGAGTGACTGGCTGCCGCCCTCCAAGTTATGACACACTGACGCTCTCTCTCACAGAAGCAGTGGTCACGACGACATGGGTCCTCTGGGGACCCTCCTGCTGCTGCTCCTACTGTTGCCTGTGCTCCTCGCTCTCAACCACCTCGTCAGCAGCAACTGCAAACTCAAGACTGCTAATTGGATTAGAAGGAGAAGACGAAAGAGAAAAATTAAATACGAAAAAAAGTCGAAGAAAGTCCAAGACGCTACAGCAAGATGGTCGTGACGAACATGAACCATATGAATATTTGTGTCTTAGGCATTATTATTAGGATTAATATAATTATTATTCAAATTATTTTCATATGTAATTTGTACTGGGTTTAAGTTCTGTCAAATGTGAAAGGGCTATTATATAAGGCCATCACAATAGTTTGCTGATCAGCCACCATGTATGCTGTAGTCCTGGAAATAATTCTGGCTCGTAGAAAGCTCTGTTAGTACGTCAATAACTGGCGTACACCTCTTGGTGAATATAAGTCAGTGCTTGTCGTGTCTAGTGGAGTTCATGGGCCTCCATTAGACACCACTGTCTAATGGACGCCCAAAACATAAGACTCAGTTTAATCCTCTGAAGGATTATTAAAGACCTTGGCACGAGCCTAATGTCAACAAAGTATACTTATGAATATACTTAGAGTATATTCTATGGAGAATATACTCCATAGCTAAAGTAAACTCAATGTATATGCACTGTGAAGCGGTGTACAGTTTTCAGTGTAAATATCCTTGTATGTTTGGTTTGGTGTTGGGCTTAAGGCTTGTCAACACCAGGAGAGTTATTAAAGACACCACAAGAGCTATACTGAGTGGGTTGGGTGGTGGCTGAGGGGACAGCGCTCTAGACTCATGGACCTAGTACCAGAGTTCGATCCCCCGGCACCGCCGGAAAAACAAATGGGCGGTTTCCTTCACCCTGGTGCCCCTATTACCTAGCAATAAATAATAACCTGAGAGTAAAACAGCTGCTGCGGGCTGCTTCCTGGGTGTGTATGTTGGGGGGGGGGTAGTTAGTAACAGTTGATTGATTGACAGTTGAGAGGTGGGCCGAGTGTTTGGTATACATAGCGTTACATACAGTGCCTTGTGTTGATTTGTGTATGTCAATGTTCCAGGAATTGTTCTCTGAACTGCAATTATTTCATATACGTGTAATAAAAATATTTATATCAATTGATTGGTTTGATGTGGGGCTCAGCCTAAGGCCAATCAACCTGTCTAGGGTTATGAAGAGCTAAATAAAGAGTTTACGTAAAAACCAGCAAGTTTACTTTGGTCCTGAATTTTGTTTTATACTGAAGTACACGCTCATTATATTTACAGATAAGCCTAGTAAGTACAACTTTATATATATATATATATATATATATATATATATATATATATATATATATATATATATATATATATATATATTCCTTAAATAATTTACATAAGCTAGTGGATCCTTTTAAATAGCTTTTATTTCCCAAACAGTGTTATGTATATAAATAAAAACCACGAGATTAATTAATTTAAATTTAGTAAGGTTGTACGCATGGTGTGTTACATTTATATAATTAAAATTAAAAGAGGATCAATAAGTTTTAAAGAAAATGGCGTATTTAGACGTATTGCATTACCAACTGTTGCTTCTGAGATATATCAGTGGCTGTACCAACATCAGTTTGGCTTGATAAGTGGAACTGAAAAAAGGAAAGTGAAAAAAAGCAGGCAAAGAACTGGGGAACAGATTAAAATTGGCTGAAAAGAGTTGAATTGGTATACACAGAGAAAAGAAACACATAGAGAAAATTAGAGAGACGACAGATTGTATGAGAAAAGACAGGCAGGGGCAGAATTAAAGAGAGATAAAGAGGGAAGGATTGGTTGAGGGAGAAGAGGAAGAGTGGGCGAAGAGTGAAGTCATGACGTTAATCTTCTTCCCCAACAAGGAAGAAATAAAAAAAAAATCTTGGTCATCAAATTCAAATAAAACTTGATTGCATCAGCCATAACTTGACACACACAACTTTTACAGTTAAGGAAAGTAGTTTGGACAGATATTAAAATTACATTTTATTGAGGAAAATTGATATTTACTTATTTTTTAATGCAAACGAAGTAGCTAATATTATATTAGCTAATTATATTATTTCAAACTTCCCAACACCCAAAAACAAAGGTTTTATGAAACCTTTGAAATGAAAAATTCATTTCAAATAATATAAGTATAATATATTATACTTATAATTTTTGAAATATGAAATAATATAAGTATAATCCACTGCCCTTAAAATTGGCAATTTAAACTTCTAAGAAAGACAAAAACTTCAAAGGGTATACATGCAAATATACTATCAGGAATATATTTAAAGAGAGGTACGAAAACAAGGTGTTTAAGACTGACATAAATCCAACTGCTTACCTCTTAAATGCTGACTAATGGCGGACACCTTCCATCCCTGAAATTCCTCTCTGCTGTCTGCCACAACACCCTCTTCACTCCCATAATCCCTCAACTTGACCCCTAAGTGTGGACCTGACCTCGAACCATGACATCACTAAGACCATATACTCCTCGCCGTAAACAAGTGCATTGTACGCTATTGTTCATCATTGTTGTGGTTCTGTTATGGGTGTTTCTGGCCCGTTGTTGGAAGTGATTTGTCCAGGTAGCCGACGAAGTCTGTGGCGGGCAGGTGAAGGAAGCGCACGCTCGCTATGTTTACCTCTTGTCTGTCTGTCTGTCTGTCTGTCTGTCTGTCTGTCTGTCTGTCTGTCTGTCTGTCTGTCTCTCTCTCTCTCTCTCTCTCTCTCTCTCTCTCTCTCTCTCTCTCTCTCTCTCTCTCTCTAGGTCAGTAACACACTCTTATCAGAACTCCTCTACAGCATATCGGCGTCCCATATTTGATTTGATTCCCCCATTAGCATGTTCACCTCAGCACAAACACCTTCACCTCCTCGTATGAACCTCTTATCCCTCACGAGCACTCATAACCTCACTTGTATCGTCCACTCTGGAGTGCGTGTACTTATTCGTCCACTCTGGAATGCGCCAATCTGTCTTTTCTAGCAGTGTATCCTTTAACGTCCATTCCGTGTCAGTCTCTTCATGCGCTATGCACATATTCTATGCCTGAATGGCTGTTGCTGACTGTTCCAGTCCATTTCTGTCCTTTCAGTTCGTTTCTGCCTCTTTCTTCCAGTCTGTTTCTGCCCATTCTCTAGCTCGTTTCTCTCCCTTTTCTTGTCTGTTTATGGTTCTAGTTAATTTCTGTACTTTTATCACTTATTATACTTTAATTATTTTTTATACGTTAATTAAGTATTATTTATTATTTATTATACTTTGGCTTGCAACGAGGTCCCTACAAGGTCGAACTACTGACACTCGCCAGGAGGCCATCCACAACAGTTGCCTAGCTCCAGGGGTGCCTATTTACTGCAAGATAGATTCAGGTATTAAGTGAATGGAAACGTGCTCAACCATTTCTTTCCCACCCGGGAATCGAACTCAGCATTCCCGACTATGAGTCGAGAACGAAGTCACTATGAGACGCTATTTCTCCTTCCCCCTCTCCATCTCGCTCTCTCTTCTTCCATCCCTCTCTCCTAAATTTCAATCTCCACCTTTTCCTCTATTTACGTCTCCACCTTATTCTCTATTCCACTCGCCATCTCCCCACTACAGCTCCCTCTCACCAGCCCTCCCACCAGCCCTCCATCCATATATCTCCTTCCCTCTCCTCTCAGCCGGCCACCTTCCCCCTCAGCCAGGTCCCAGCGGCCAATCCGCGGCACAATTGGCCAGCTATTGCATCAATTACCACGATTTAAAAGTCAATTGGGCGTCCCCTCGGTGGCGATTTTCTCCCCTCTATAAGTTGGTTCTTCCCCCTTCCCTTGTGGCCTCCCTATTTCTCCCCTCTCCCCTCTGTTAACTCCCTCTCTCCATCCCTCCCTCCTTCTTTCCCACTTCTACTTCTTCCCTGGGCCATTCCACCTCAGTTCCTTCTCCCCCTCTCTCTCTCTGTCTCTCCCCTTCGCCTGGTGATTCTGAGGGTAAACACATCAATGTGTCTCCTGGGAGGAGAGGGAGGAATAGAGGGTAGGAGGAATGGAAAGGAAAGTCCTCGCTTAACTGCTTATATACTCTCCCTCGCTAACACTAAGGGACTTAACACGCTTGCCTCCACTCCCTTTGCTCTTCCCCAGTCCTTCGTTCACTCTCTACTTTAATCATTTGCTCTATTAGTCTCTCTCTTCTTCAGATCACTATTCCATCAGTCAGTGTCTTATTCCATTACCTGCTCCTTCAGTCAACTATTCCTTTAATCAGTCTTTTTCTTTAATTACCTGCTCCTCTACGGCATTTCCTCTCTTATTTACCCATTCTCTTCCCAATGCACCCATTCTATTGCTCACTCACCCATTCCATTCCTTACACATTTCCTTCTCGACTCGCATCTTCCTTTCTTCATTCATTTATTCACTTTCTCCTTCATTCATTTCTTTCCTTCCTCATCCATTCCCTCCTTCGCTCATTTATCTCCTCACTCACCTATTCAAGTCCTCATTCACCATTACATTATTCACCTTTGCTTCCTCTCTTGCTCTATGACACCATCTTTAAGGTCTTTGATTTATTAGGAACTTTTAGGAAGTGAATTTCTCTATTTCACCCATGAATTGTTCTCACTAGTACTTCCTCACCCTATATCTTACTTACATACTTCCTCTCGCTGTATTTCACTATTCTCACACTTCTTAATCCAACACTTCCTTACCAACACACTTTCTTACCCTACATCACCCTAATAACACTTTATCATTCTATTTTACCCTACTAAAAATAATTCATCACACTGTAGTTCACTTCTAATACACTTCCTCACTCAGTATCACACTACAAACATAATTTCTCACCTCTCGTGATAGTACACTATTAACATTATTATTAAAAATTTCTCATAACAGAGAAATTTTTATTAAAATATTATATAATTTTAATAAATATTATTAAAAATTCTCAACAGAGGACTTGAATTATATATATATATATATATATATATATATATATATATATATATATATATATATATATATATATATATATATATATATATATATATATATATATATGTCGTACCTAGTAGCCAGAACGCACTTCTCAGCCTACTATGCAAGGCCCGATTTGCCTAATAAGCCAAGTTTTCCTGAATTAATATATTTTCTCAATTTTTTTTCTTATGAAATGATAAAGCTACCCATTTCATTATGTATGAGGTCAATTTTTTTTATTGGAGTTAAAATTAACGTAGATATATGACCGAACCTAACCAACCCTACCTAACCTATCTTTATAGGTTAGGTTAGGTTAGGTAGCAGAAAAAGTTAGTTTAGGTTAGGTTAGGTAGGTTAGGTAATCGAAAAACAATTAATTCATGAAAACTTGGCTTATTAGGCAAATCGGGCCTTGCATAGTAGGCTGAGAAGTACGTTCTGGCTACTAGGTACGACATATACATATATATATATATATATATATATATATATATATATATATATATATATATATATATATATATATATATATATATATATATAGAATTCAAGTCCTCTGTTCTTCCTTGGATGTTTTACACTTATATTCACTTAATAATTTAAGAATTATGGTAATGATACTAAACTTGCATTGAAGCTTATTACAGCAGCGAGGTGTCTATGCCCTGAAAAAAATATTAAGGACCTACTCGCTTTGGGGTATTATTCCTCCTTGTCTCGCAGTTTCCCGAAGGAGTTCTATGAACAAGTGTTTTGAGAATAGGAAGTTTTCTACAGTTTCCGAGAGATCTTTGAGCGATGACGAGGTTAGTGTGTCACAAGATGTTGGCTGGGCGTTATCTGCATGAAGGTGTTGGGTGTAGCGACATGGCGACACCGATAGTGATCTTGAGTGTGCTGGCAGAGACTGCAGGAAAGAGATGGAGGAAAAGTCCTGTTTTGTGGGATCATTTGTCATTCAACACTGACAGGACTCGGACAATTCAAATGTGGCAGCTGATAATGTGGGATCTTTGTTCAAAATTGCTTGGTTCAATTTATTTATATATATATATATATATATATATATATATATATATATATATATGTAATTATATAATTAAATTTGGGCTGGACGATAGAGCGACGGTCTCGCTTCATGCAGGTCGGCGTTCAATCCCGACCATCCAAGTGGTTGGGCACC